TTCTGAATTATCATCATGGCCCATTCCTCATGGTTCTGCCCTTTTATTTTTATGTCCTTTCTCTTGGTGATCTCAGATTCTATCTCAAGATCATGAGTATTGGACATCTTGAATTGGAGAGCCTATGGGACATACAGGTAGAGATATCTAGTAGTCAGTGACAGATGTGGAACTGGACCTCAGAGGAGACTGAAGAGGGCTGGATATATAGATTTGGGAGTGATATGAGAGGAGGTGCCAGGAGGTGAGAGTCAAATCCACATGAACTGATGAGATCATCAATAAAGAGACTGCAGAGAGGAAAGGAGGGGCCAAGACAAAATCCTTAAAGATCTAAATTCTTTTGTCTTTCACTCATTTTTTTCAGTCATGTCCACTCTTCATGACCCCATTTGGGGCTTTCTTGGTTAAATGACTTGCCCAGGATCACACAGCTGGTAGGTGTCTGAGGCAGGATTTGAGCTCAATTTCTGTCTTCCTGACTTCAGGCTTGGCACTCTATCCACCTCACCATCTAACTACCCTAAATTCTATGATCCTGAGTAATTATAATCCTGATAATGATCCTGATCATTAAAATCATGGCTGACGTGTATATAGTGGTTTAAGGTTTGTAAAATAATCAGTAAACATTTATGAAGCACCTACTATGTGCCAGGTGCTGTGCTAAGTGCCAGGAATACAAAAAGAGGCAAAAGAGAGTCTCTTCTCCCAAGGAGTTTACAATTTAATGACATGGTATAATCTAGAACACTTTATGTACATCTCCTTTGAGCCTCACAAAGACTGCAATGTATTGTTACCTTCATTTTACAGGTGAAGAAACTGAGGTTCAAAAGAGGTTAAGCCCAGGGTTACACATAGCTAGTAAGTGTCAGAATTGAGATTTAAATCCAGATTTTCCTGACCCAAGTCTGGCTCTAGTTGTACAGATAATAAATGCTGTGTACATTCAGATAGAGAAGATTATTTTAGTTTTACTCCTTTGCAGATGCCCAAGAAATCCTTTTACTGCTTGCCCTGGGCTTTGGCTGAGGTTGCTTCATTCAACTGTAACCAGAGTTACTGGAATAACTAGTACTGCTTCCACTGTTGGCCATCTTCAGTTAGTCATTTGACAAACATTTATTAAGTTCCCATGACAGAAAACAAAAAACAATGTCACTGTCTTCCAGGAGTTTACTAGGAGATACAAGAAAAACACAGTTAAGTAAATACCAGATGATTTAAGGAGAGGGAGAGTACTAATAGCTGGGGAAATCAGAAAGGCTTTGTGCGCAAGATGGCACCTGAGATGCTTAAAGCTAAGAATTCTGAGAGGTGGAGATGAGGAGGGAGTGCATTCCAGTCTTAGGGAATGGCATGTGTACACAAAGGCAAAGAGATATATTGCTGAGTTTAGGGAAATGGCTTGTAAATACAGTTTGACTGGATCATATTATGTGTGAAAGAGATGATACAAAATTAGTCTGGAAAGGTACTAGATTCTTGCCCTTATTAGAAATAGGGAAGTCTTGGGGAGGAAAGGGTTTGTGGTAAGGATTATGAGTTCTGTTTTGAGATGCCAGTAGGGCAGCCAGACGAACATGTCTAGCAAACATTTAGTGATACAGTACTGGAGTTCAGGAGAGACATTGGGCTGGATCTATAGATTGGGGTATTACTTGCCAAATGCAACTCATTTTAATGAGGAGTTCATCATAGAAGAGAGCCCAGGACAGAGCTTTGAAGAAGGACCACCTAGAAATTAGACAGCCACTCAACGGCAACCCTTATCCATATCGTAGGAAGCCTGTTCAGCCATATGAGGTCATACTTGACAAAACAAAGTGTTAAATTCATTCCCATAAAAATATTCTAGTACTTGTAGGCAGAATATATAGTTACTGAAGTCATAATTAGTCATAATTTTTTACCTATTGATTACATGTCTCCACTGCCTTGAGTTAAATAGCTGTTGTATAAAATTAGCCCAGCGTAAAGGCTTTGGAGAATTTGCACAGAAGTCATTTATTTGCTCACTGCTCCAACACACCCAAGGCATTTTAGCATTTTGACGAAGAGGCTAGTTGTGAGGAGGAAAAAGAAATGCATGAACTTGTTTACAAAGCTAATGTCATACTTGATGGTACATCCATATTTTATTGGACAAGGCTGTTGCCATTAGAAGGACTATACAATATAGTCCTACAGCTGTATAGATGATACTTTGTAGCCCCCATACCCAAGAGACAAGAATCCAGATTCTAGCACTGCATGTTTGACATTGTTTTATTTTTACTGTTCATTAATTCATCAACAATTCAAATAATCAGTTAAGTGCCTCCTATATATAAGGCACTATGAAAAAATCATCCCTGCCTTCAAGAACCTTACATTCTTCTGAGTTGTTTGTAGGGTAGTTTATAGAGATATGTAAACATTCCTACATATGTAAAACAGAAGATCATTTGAGGAGAGAGAGAGAGCAGTAACAACCAGGGGATTTGCTTGGGTAACCCAGGTTGAACCTGGAAGAGAGCTAAGGCTTCTAAGAGGTGGTGGTGGGTAAAGAAAGGGTGGAACTCATGGGGGACAGTCTGTGCAAAGGGAGATGAAAGGCTAACTTGGGTTAATAGTTAAGTAAGCCAGTTTGGCTGGAGCATAAAGTATGTGAAAGGAAGTAATGTGCAGAAAGTACAGGCCTCTATACCATTTCCAGACCATCTCCAATGTCCCTTACACCACCCCACTCCTGCCTCACTCTCTTTCTCACCTTATTCTGTATGTTATCTTCCCTATTTGAAAGCAAGTTCCTTAAAGGTAGAGGCTGTTTTCTAGCTTATATTTACATCCCAAACCTGTTTCACAGGGCCTGGAACACAATAAGTGCTTAGTAAATGCTTTATCTATCTCTATGGCATGCCTCAGCAAAAGAGCACGTAAAACAACCAAACATTTCTATTCCTAAGGTTTTTTTATTATTATTTTGGGATATCAGAATAAGAAACAAGAAAAAAAAAGCTTGAGTAACTAAAGTTTTGATTATTGTTGTTAACATTATTTTTGAATATATGGCACAAATATGCACAAATATGTTTTTTTAAATATGCAACACAAAAATACATCACAAGTTGGGCTAAGGTTTTATTTAAAGTGAAGGATTTCCTCAAAGAGGTCAGAAAAGTCTCATTCATACCAAAATATTCATAATTGTGCTTTTTTGTGGTAACAGAGAATTGTAAGCAAAGTAGATGCACATTGACTGGGGCAGGTGAAATCAGCCAGTCAATCAACAAGCATTAATTAGCTGCCTTCTGTGTGCCAGGTGCTATGCTTGGCTCTGAGGATATGAGTAAGTTGTGGTGCATTAATATTAGTGGAGTATTACTGAGTTGTTAAAGAAAAAAAAAGACAAATATGAGGAATTGACAGAAACATGGGATAACTAATATGAACTGAAAAAGAATAAAGTATGCAATTCCAGGAAAACTATTCACATTAACCACAACAATGGAAATGGAGAGAACAATAAAGTAAAACTGAACCTTGTGTGATTGTAGTGATTAGTTGACCCTGGAAAAGAACTAAGAAAATGTACCTCCTTTCCTTGGTTTCAGAGGTGGGGGACAGTGGCTGTAGAGTCATGCATGTACTCTCTGCTGTGGCCAATAGGTTTGGTTTTGATAAACTGCTTTTTTCTTCCTTTTTTCATTTTTCTTCCAAGAAATGGCTGGAAGGATGGAGGGAGGAATATATTCAGAAGTGAATTGTAATATAAAAGCAAAAGGCATCTATTTTTTACAAGCATAACTTGTACCAAAAATAATAATAAAGGGTTCTACCTTGATAAAACTTTGAAAACCACTGTATTAGAAAATATTACAGGATGAGCAAATGCTGTGTGACAGGCAAGTTGTTCAGTTGTTAAAAATGCTTCAGAAATTCAGGGAAAGACAAAGTCACCGAGGGCTGGGGTGTTCTGGAAATTTTTTGTAAGAATGTTGGGACTTGAAGTTGTTGTTTGTCCTTTGTTCTGGAAGAGGACCGTGACATCAGGGAGGTGGTGCCACGACTTGCAAGTGAATTGCATTTAAGTGAGGCAGGGCTGCGCAAAGCCACAAGCCTCACTTTCTCTTCTAAAGCCATCTGGATCCAGTGGCCAGATACAGATCAGGACCACTGGAGATGGCCCAGGGTGCAGTGGGAGACCTTAGCCTTTTTAAATGAAGGCCTTTAACAGGTCTCAGTTTGACTGAGGCAACACCCATTCAGCCATTAAGGCTAGATAAGAAGTAAGATAGAGAATGGCCTCTTTTACCTTGTCAAAAAAAAAAAATCAGTCTGGCAGGGGAAGACCCTCAGAATTTGTGGCCCAAACAATGACCACTATTGTTGGCCAATCAGTGATGACCAGAGTGACTTTGGTTTAAGGCCTGATCCTTAAGAAAGAAATCTAGGTAAACCTCAAGATGTCTTTCAAAGTTTCTTGGACCTGAAGTAGTCTTTAAAGGAAGGGTTAAACTTAGATAAATGGAATACAGTGGAGAATACATTCCACCTTCAGGGAGTGGTGTGATTGAACAACTCAACCCACTGTGCTTAGCCATAAGTACATTCCTTTAATTAGAAGGGAGAGGGGAATAAATAAAAGTGAAGTTTGAAGGTTAGGTAGGAGGCCAAATTGTAAAGGGCCTTGAATGCCAGGCAGAGGGGTTTAGATCAGCCCATAAGTGGTAGAGAGCCATTGAAAGCAGTGCCAATTCAGAAGTAATGTGGGGGAAAACCCCACAGTGCTGCTATAAAAAGCACCATTATTACTATTGCTAATCGTTATTGTCACTTTTTATTGATGATAGTGATGATGATGATGCTAATGAAACCACATAAACAATAGGTCAGGGCCTGCCACACGTTATATAAGGATCCCTATTAATAAGTCATACATGCAATTTCCTCTGTGTGTAGCCTGAATATATCTATGGCAACAACATAATTAGAGTGTTCCCTTGCTTTCATAGGAATGCTCCAGAGACCTTTCTTTACTGCTGTGATTTTGCTTCTGGAGCAGTGGAGCTAGTAAAGGTATCTCTTTTATTGTCTTTATAGGTTGAGAGTACCCCTCTCCCCCTCCCCCCATCTCCATCCAAAGCCTCAAGTATTGGAATAAGATAACATCTGGCCATTTTAAGCTGAATTGTTGTTATTTCTGAGAAAAATATGGTGGCCAGCCAACTCATGAATATATTAACCCCTTACTCTCATTCAGTTTAATTGAAAAAAAAATTTAAGCACCTATTATTAGTGTTACAAATGAGAGGCAATGTAGTATAGAGCCAGCTTCAGAGTTGGGAAGACCTGGGTTCAAGTCTTGCTTCCCACACATTTTGGCCCAAGGCAGGTTCACCCTGAGTAAGCCACTCAACCTCTGAGTGGGGCAACTTTCTAAGACCATTACATTTCACAGCTGGTATTCATTTGCACTGATAGAGTGGATTTGCTCACCTGTGAACACACAGGTTCTGTACCAAAAAAAGGCACTGATGATCAAGATCTCCATGCAAAGTTAGAAAAGAAAAAAAATTATGATTCTGCTGGAGTCGGAATAGAAAGCCTGAAAACATTATCTGCAATGACTATAATAACATAAACTAAAACAACCCGAAAAGACAGCCAGGCTCTGTTTAATTGCAAAGACCATTTTTGATGCGGGTAAACAAATGAGGAAACATAACTTCCTTTCTCTTAAGAAAGAGGTGGAGTGACTACAGGTGGGAATGTCACATATCTCAAAAGAGATAATATTTGTGAAGCACTTAGCATAGTGACTGGCACATAGGTGTTACATAAATGTTAGCTTTTATTCATTATTATTGTTATCATTATTATGTGCCATCAAATTCAGTTGTTTTTACTTAACTTTTGTCAAAAAGGAAAGTGGTTTTGTGGAGTGTTAAAAATAAAAAAAAGTTTCTATAAAACATTTAAAAGCAAAGAAGGAAAGAAAAAGAAAAAAAGGCAAAGCCTTAAACAATGAATAATCAAAGCCTTTATAATCTTTCTGTTGGGGCAGAGGAAGGGGCATAGTGGGGAGAAAGGTGTTCAGATCAGTGATTTTGTGGATTTATGAGAAAGTCCTGGTGTGGGAATTCTCCCCATCATTACAGATAAGCAACTTACAGTCTTAGGGTTTTGTTTGGGGATGCTGATAGGTTGGGAGCAGCCAGTGTGCTCAGTGGAAAGAACACTGGACCTGGAGTCAGGAAGACTCATCTTTCTAAGTTTAAATCTGACCTCAAACATTTACTCACTGTATGACCCTTAACCCTATTTGCCTCAGTTTCTTATGTGTAAAATGAGCTGGAGAAGGAATGGCAAACCTCTCCAGTATTTCTGCCAAGAAAACCCCAAATGGGGTCACAGAGAGTTGGACACAATTGAAATGACTCAACAACACTGATAGGTTAAGTGGTTGTAAAGCACGGTTGTGTCAGAAGCAAGACTTTAACCTAAGTCTTCCTAATCCCAAGGCTGATCTTCTATCTGCTACCCCAGGCTTTCTGTTTACAATCATCTTTTCTTTCTTTCTTTTCTTTCTTTTTTTTTTTTTGGTGAGGCAGTTGGGGTTAAGTGACTTGCCCAGGGTCACACAGCTATTAAGTGTCAAGTATCTGGTCTGAGACCGCATTTGAACTCGGGTCCTCCTGACTACAGGACCAGTGCTCTATCCACTACAACACCTAACTGCCCCACTGTTTACAATTATCAAGGGTATGGAAAAGAGGAAGTATGGACTTGTTCACCATCCCAGATTTTTTGGGCATACCTTTTGAAGACTGAAGAAGGTAATTTTAGGAAAAATCAAAGATTAAGCACTATTTTACAAAGTAAATAATAAATATTTGAAACTTTTTATATGGGCCATATTTATAAATAGTTGCAGATAAGAATTTTGATAGCTTAATGTACATCTGTCATCCGTGAACTTAAGGAAAATTGGAATATTTGGAGCAGTTCTATAACTTTATCAGATCATAGTCATGGTGGGCAGCTTCTGTCATTGATGCCCTAAACAAGGACCAAACTTGGGCGAAATGTTAAAATCGGGGAAGCTTGTCTTTAGGGCTACTGGACTATACTTTGAATTCTCTTTCCCCTTAAAGTGTCAACTTGTAATCTGTGTATCCCATGTCTAAATATTCTCTGTCTTTCTCCTGCCCAATGATCTGATAACCTCATTCTTACAAGGGTGTAAATGACTGAGTTAATGTGACCCTTTAACCTCTGTCAGACCCTTAATACAAAAGGAATGAATCTGTTTGTGACATCTCAAACACATGGAGGATAGCATGGGAAAAGCTTGTTGAGGCTCAGGAAGAGCATCTCAGAGCCCCCCAAATCCTATCATATTGGTGGAAACCTGGCCAGTCGTTTTGTGAGGCCAGTCCTTTTCAGCGCAGAAAAGATTTCATTGTGAAGCTGAATTGACAAACATCAATTCTAATTTCCAAGTGGAAGAAACAGGAGCCCTGGCCTGTAAATCAAGTGTTTCTTAATTCTCTGAGGAAAGTTCCTCAGAAGAAATAAAAAAGATTTGACCTTTTAAATAATAGAAAACAACAAAGCAAACCCATTGAAAGTCTGCTTAATCACTTTGGCATTCTTTACCTTTCTCTTCTTCCATCATGACAGTCCCACGCGTCCTACAGCCCAGCCCAGTGCTCTGCCTTTGTTCATGATGTATGTGATGATGGCTTATCCTACCCTTTTCCAGATGGGATCCTGGATGTCATTCTCTTAGTCTTTGTGCTCTCTTCTATTCATCCTGACAGGTAAGTGAAGACTAGAGGGCAAAGCAAATATGTTAAAGCTTTTATTTTTTTATCACCAGTGGTTTTCAGGAATATCAAAGTGAAATGACAATTCTTGAATTTATTATTTAGCAGGCTACATTATGTATAACGTGCCTTCTTTTAAATGCAGCCCCCCCCCCCTTTTCAGAATTTTAGAAAGAAACTGGTCAAACTACTTCATTAGTGAGCTTTCTGTCACTGTCAAAATGAAGTGAGCATATTCTGGCAAGACACATACCTATTAAAAGTGACAGTGCTTCAAGGAAATTACAAATTCAGAAACAGCCTAATAGGCTCCCGGGGGGTAGGGGGAAGAGGAGCATGGGAACGGCAAGTTCTTGGAGATCAGAAACAAACATCCCTGGTTTAGCATCCTACCAGTGGTTTGTAAAGAGAGGCCAGTCATTCACATGGATTCACAAAGGTTGGTAGTTAGGCTTCTGGGGGGGAAAAAAAAGCAGTCAACTGTGGATTGTTTGGACTTGTCAGATTAATCCATATGGGACCTAAGGTGCCTGTTGTTCCCATCAGAGAGTTTAGCTAAACTTCCTGTTGGTATGGTTTTGGGGAACAATATTCTCTGTGAGGAAGGGAAAAAAACTCTAAAAGAACATTAGAGTTTATTACTTAGCCCCCTTTGTCACATCTCACCACATTGGGAATGTCAAGGTAAGCATGTGGGAAGTTTCTCAAGATTTTCATGACATAGAGACTGGCGTGCTTGACAGATAGCAGAGACAGTGTGCTTAGCTTGAGTCATGCTGGGCTTGGTGATCATCTTCCTTTTCCAAAGAAGCTGGAGTTTCTGGTGTGGGAAGCTTGGTCCTTTCCTACGTAGTTCCATCCCTTCTTAACTTTTTCATCAGAGATGATCACTAGTAAAAGAACAGCAAACTGAACTCAAAAACAGACTCCTGTTTAGATGTAAAAAGCCTTAAGCTTTGGAGCAGGGGAATATTTATGTGGATCTGCCAGCTACACTTTAGCCCTAAGAAACTGCTGTTTTATCACAGTTTCTGTAGATTATTTCTTTCCGTTAATCGACCTAAATGGTGACTTTTTCCAGGTGCTGGTTGGATGATTCAGTCTGTTATTTTGCCTCCCAGTATGAATAGTCAAAAGATGAAATGGAAGGATAAGGAGGAAGATTTTCTGTTCCCTGTATCAACTAGGGAGTGCTTGAATTCTAGATAATAACCAAGAAGGAATATTTGAAATTATTTTGGTCCAAATAATGATTTGGCTTGGATGTCAAAAAGCAGTTTTAAACAGATGTAATAGAAAGCTTTTTATAGTCCAGTGCACTGATTTTTTTTTTAATCAGTTTCATTCAAGTATGATATTAAGTTATTTTTGTCTTCCAGGGAGACTTTTTTTTTTGTAATGGCCATGGTCAGGGTTATTCAGGCCTCCGTGAGCAGACCTGGCCATAACAGAAGCCTGTTCATTTTAAAGGCCTAGATAATTCTACCAGGGGCAGGTAGGTGGAGTAGTGTATAGAGCACCAGGCCTGGAGTTAGGAAGACTCATCTTCCTGAGTTCAAATCTGGCCTCAGACACTTATGAGCTGTATGACCCTGGGCAAGTCACTTAACCCTGTTTACTTCAGTTTCCTCATCTGTAAGATGAGCTGGAGAAGGAAATGGCAAATCACCCGCAGTATCTCTGCCAAGAAAATAACAAATGGGGTCACAAAGAGTGAATGAAAACAAAATTCTACCAGGTTCTGAACCCTTAAGCCCAGAGAACTTGCTGTAAAACCACAGTAAGTTTCATGAGAAGAGCTTGCCACATTCATTTACTCTGTCTTTAGTTCAGAGAGATCCAGAAGCAGAACAGTGATTACAAGTGGACTAGGAGAGATGGAGACAAGGAAAATGAAATGTTTCTTTCTTTTCTCCTAGAACCAGTTCTGGGACTTCATTGCTAATTAAAACGAAAATAAATTCTGCTCATCTTTATTCACAGTCCTAGGTCTTGCTCAGTTCATTTCAATTAAACAAACAGTTTTTAAATGCTTACTGTGTGCAAGGCACTGGGCATACTAAGATGAAAATGTGGTACTCCCTGTACTCACAGAGTTTACATTCTACTGGGGGCAAGTGGGTAAGCTCAAAGTCATGTTCAGTAATTTCAAGAGGGAGACCGTACAGATAAAGTTAAAGTCAGGAAGGCCTCTTGTAGGAGGTGGTGCCTGAGCTGTGCTCTGAAGGGTACTTCTTGCAAAGTCTGGAATCCACACTAATGGGTACTGAAGACTGATGGAAGCTTTGGAAAAATGGATAAATATTGGAGTGTTAGCTGAACTTGTTTGGACTAGTTTGGTTTTCATTGTAGTTCTGTATGATGTTTTTAATCAATAACTTCATGCATCATATTTTTCTAACATATAACCTCCTAAGAGTGAAGTGGTGTTTTAAAATGTTAGGCATGTTTTTTCTAAAAACCAAAATTATCATTATAAGAGACTTGTGGAAAACCATACAATTTGAAAATAGTCTATAATAGAATAAGGCAATCCAGAAAACCCTTTCCTTCTAACCTTACACATACTAAAGTCCCTTCCTCCCCCATCCCTGCATTTTTTTTTAAAAAAAGAACAAATACCACATAACTCTTTGCTTAAAATCCATAAAACTCTTCACTTAACTCTGCTGTTCCAGCCATAGCCCTCTGTCTCTTTTGTGTTTCATAGTTAATTTCTCAAATAGAATACAGTTGAGCTCAACAACTCAGATGCAGATAATTCTTCAGTTCTATATCTCCAATCCCATCCTAACAATCTCTTTCCCGTCTTATAACTTCTGAACATCATCTGAAGCTTAACCACAAATTGAATTCATTAACATACCGAGACAAGAATTTCAAATATGCAGGCCACATATTGAAATTCACCACTTGGGTACTCAGAAAATCACAGAATTTTAGAGTTGGAAAGGCACCTTAAGGGCCATCTAATTCAACCAGTACCCAAAAAAGAAATCCCCACTATAATATAAATAACAAGTGGTCTGTCCAGCCTCTATTTAAAAGATGATTGGTGAAGTCTTTGCTCTCCATCCTGAAATCAATCTGTAGAACTAGGGACCATCAGTAAGAACATTTTTTGCTGATTTGAGAAACACAGAATGTTGAAGATAGAAGATACCTTAGAGATGATCTAGGCCATCCCCATCATTTTACAGGCCCAGAGAATTTAAGTGCCTTGCTCATGGCCAAACAGCAGTTACCAATATAGTTTGATTATAATCTGAACATAATGTCTTCCAATTTAGAAATCCTGTCTACTATACATACATGGTATTACAGTTTTAATTGGCAAGGTATCAGTTAAAGAGTAAGTAATATCTCTTAGTAATTAATGTCCAAACTGTTTTGATAAAGATAAGAATTTATACCATAAAAAAAATCAGATAATATTTCATGGATTTGTTTACCCAGGACAAAGTAAACCAGGTAAACAGTGGAATTCATTCCTAGTGTTGAATGTCTCTTTAGCCCAAAAGGAAGCTAAATCAAGGATAACTTGATTTTTAACCTTTCTTTGGGATTTTAGAATTTTCTTTTTTTGCATTGTATGCTAAAATCACAACATCAATTTCACCCTACAGTATTTTAGACTGGGTAATGTTGAAATCATTTGTACCAGCATAGTATCCTAATTTTTCATATGAGTCTAGGAGGCTGGACCCAGCCCTGTGGCAAGGTAACTTGGTCATGCAAAGTTATCAAGGAAAAGGAATGGTATACTAGCTACAAGTAACTTGTTTGCCTCCCTTAGACTTGTTTTTAGTGGTGTGATAGTTGTGATGTTAGCCTACCCCTCAGAGCAAAATACATAGTGGAAATCAATCAGTGAACATGTATTAAATATCTGCTATGTGCTAGGCACTGTGCTAGGCCTGCATATACAGAGCTGAAAGTTAAATAGCTGTTGCCCTCACTGACTGACATTCCTATTGAAAGAACTGAGTAAGAATCAGAAAACTGGCATTCCAGTTCCAGTTCTGCCACTATATATCTGCCATATAACTTTGAACAAGTCACCCCACTTCTTTTGGGCCTGGATTTCCTCATCTATAAAATGGGTATAATAATACCTTCCCCATTTGATTTACAAGGTTCTTCTGACGATTCCAAAGGAGTCATGATAAAAAATACTATCCTTCTCCAGAGAGAGAACTGATGACAAGAGTAAAGATGAAAGTATAATTTTTTAGTTTATTTTTCTTGTTTTTTTAAAAAAACATGGTTAATATGGAAACGTGTTGCATGATTTCACATGTATAAGTGATGTACTGCTTGCCTTCTTAATGGGTGGGGAAAGGGAGAGGAGAATTTGGAATTCAAAAAAATTTTTAATGTTAAAAATAAATAATTTTTTAAGAAAATAAAGAGTGGAAGCCCTGAGGGGCAGTATCATTTCTGGCCCCAAGGGATCAGGGACCCCGAGAAACAGTATCATTTCTGGGCCTAAAGGAGGAGGGTCCCTGAGAGCAACATTGATTGTAATCCCAAGGGATCAGGGGCCCAGGACCAGAGTGATGACCAAGAGAGTAGTGACCACACCTCTCCCCAGATCACATCACCTTAGAAGCACTAAAAACTTCCAGACATCCACAACTAGCTCTGAAAATAGCACTTTGAAAAGACCTGAAGCTTGAGACAATGCCCCTCCACCTTCCCTCATTCCAGGAACAGAGCTCAACATTAACATAAAGTTAACATAAAGTTCCAAATCAAGAAATAGGGTGGGAAAATGAGCAAACAAAAACAAAAGAACCTGACCATAATGGAAGGTCAAGACAAACTCAGAAGAAGACAGCAAAGTAAAAAAAAAAACTACAAGCAAAATCTCAAAGAAAAATGGAAACGACATAAGCCCAATAAAAGGGGCAGCTAGGCAGCACAGTGGATATAACACTGGCCCTGAAGTCAAGAGGACCTGAGTCCAAACTGGCCTCAGCAATTTACTAGCTGTGTGACTCTGGGAAAGTCACTTAACCCCTATTACGTCCCCCTGAAAAAACAAATAAGAGCAGTAGAGGAAAAATTAGGCAAAGAAATGAAAGCAAAAGAAGAAAATTATAAAAAGACATTTAACAGCCTGGGAAAAGAGGCACAAAAAATACTGAAGAAAACAATACCTTAAAAAAACAGAGTTAGCACAGTGAATAGAGCTCTGGCCTTGGAGTCAGGAGGGCCTGAGTTCAAATCCAGCCTCAGACACTTAACACTTAACTAGCTGTGTGACCCTGGGTACTTAACCCCTATTGCCTCACCAAAAAGCAAAAACAAAAAACAAACAAAAAAACCAAAAACAGAATTGGCCAAATGGAAGAAGAGGTACAAAACATAACTGAAGAAAATATATTGGACAAGTGGAAGCTAATGACTCCATGAGACATCAAGAAACAATCAAAGTTAAAAGAATGAAAAAAAAATAGAAGAAAATGTGAGATATTTCATCGGAAAAACACCTGACCTGGAAAACAGATCAAGGAGAGATAATTTAAGAATTATTAGATTGCCTGAAAGCCATGATCAAAGAAAGAGCCTGGACATCATATTTCAAGACATTATCAAGGAAAACTGCCCTGATATCCTAGAACCAGAAGGTAAAATAGAGATTGAAAGAGTCCACTGATCACCTCCTAAAAGAGCTCCCAAAACAAAAACTCTGTGAATATTATAGCCAAATTCCAGAACTCTTAAAGAAAAAATACTTCCGGTAGCCAAAAAGAAACCATTTAAATACTGTGGGGCCACAGTCAGGATCACACAAGATTCAGCGGCTACTATGTTAAATGAGTAGAGGGCATGGAATATGATAGTCTGGAAGGCAAAAGAGCTGGGATTACAACCAAAAATAACCTTCTCAGCAAAACTGAGTATCATCCTTCAAGGGAAGAAAGAGATATTTAATGAAATAGAGGAATTTCAAGCATTCTTGATGAAAAGACCAGAAGTGAGTAGAAATTTTTACTTTGAAATGCAAGACTCAAGAAAAGGATAAAAAGGTAAACATAAAAGAGAAATCATAAGAGATTCAATGAGGTTAAACTGTTTACCCTTCTATTTGGGAAGGTGATACGTATATCTTCTAAGAACTGTTTCATTATTAAGGCAGTTAGAAGGATTCTATGTAGAAAGAGGGTGCAGGAGTGAGTTGATTATGTTCCAGATTTCAAACTATACTATAAAGCAGTAATCATCAAAACAAATATGGTACTGGCTAAAAAATTGAGTTGTGGATCGGTGGAATAGGTTAGGTACACGATATACAATAATGAATTACCATAATAATCTAGTTTTGATAAATACAAAGATCCAAGCTTTTGGGGTAAGAACTCACTATTTGACAAAAATTGCTGGGAACACTAGATAGCAGTTTGGCTAAAACTAGGCATACCATATACAAAGAGTCAAAATAGATAAGTAATTTACACGTAAAGGGTGATATCATAAGTAAAGTGGAGAAGCATGGAAAAATGTACCTGTCAGATATGTGGATATGGGAAGAGTTTATGACCAAACAAGAGATGGAGAGGATTACAGGAAGTAAAATAGGTAATTTTGGTTACATTAAATTAAAAAGCTTTTGCTCAAACAAAATGAATGCAGCCAAAATTAAAAGGAAAACAGGAAACTGGGGGGAAAATTTATAACAGGTTTCTGTGATAAAGGTTTTATTTCTCAAATATGTAAGGAATTGAGTCGAATTTATAGAAATAAGAGCCACTCTTCAATTGATAAATGGTTAGAGGATATGAACAGGCAGTTTTCAGAAGAAGAAATCAAAGCTATCGATAGTCACATAAAACAATGCTCTCACTACTGATTACAGAAATGCAAATTAAAACAACTCTAATATACCGCTTAATACTTATCTGATTGGCTACCATGACAAAAGGAAGATGACAAATGTTGGAGGGTATGTGGGAAAAATCGGGATATTAATGCACTGTTAATGGAGTTGTGAACTAGTCCAGCCATTCTGGAGAACAATTTGGAGCCATGCCCAAAGGATTGTAAAATTGTGCGTATACCCTTTGACTCAGCAATACTACCACTACCACCCAAAGAGGTCAAAGAAAAGAGAAAAGTACCTATATGTACAAAAATATTTATAACAGCCCTTTTTGTGATGGCAAAGAATTGGAAATTAAGAGGATGCCCATCAATTGGAGGATGGCTGGACAAGTTGTATGTGATTGTGATGGAATGCTGTTGTGCTATAAGAAATGTTGAGCAGGATGGTTACAGAAAAATCTGGGAAGACTTATATGAACTCATGCAAAGTGAAGTGAGCAGAGCCAGAAGAACATATATACACAGTAACAGCAGTATTTAAGGATAATCAACTGTAAAGATTAGCTACCCTGATCAAGGGAGTGATCCAAGACAGTCCAAAGGACCCATGATGAAAAATGCTATCCCCTTCAGAGAAAGAACTGATTATCTCTGAATGCAGATTGAAGCAGGCTTTTTAACATTGTTTTTATTGTTTTATTTGTTTTGTGTTTTCATCTGCAATATGGCTGATATGGAAATATGTTTTGCATGACTTCACATGTATAATCAGTATCAAATTGCTTTCCTTCTCAAGGGGAAGGAAGGATGAGAGGAAGGGACAGAATTTGGAACTCAAAATTTTAAAAATAATTGTTAAAAAAATTACATGTAATTGGGAAACATTTAATGAAATGAAATAATTTTTAAAAGAAAATCATAAAACAGGAGCAATCACAAGACAGCCTTGACTAATTGTCCAATAAATTCTATAGTACTTCTAAGGATTGAGAGATCACCCAGGGCTAGGGTAGTCTGAGTATGAAGGATCTGAGGTGAGTCTCAAGGGATTAGGGTTGGATAGGTGGAGAAGAGGATAGCATTGTAAATGAGGGAAATGGAGTAAGCTAAGGCAGTAAAGAAAGGAATGTGACAGGTGTGTACTGCGTAGAGTGAGTAGACCAGGCCTGTTAGAAATGAGGTTTCGCATGGGGGAGCACTGAAATTTAGACTTACAAAGGTGTGCTGAGGTCAGATTGTGGATGATCCTGAATACCAGGATAAGGAGGTTATATTATATCTTGCTAATTAATAATGGGCAGCTAAGTGGCACAATGGATGGAGTGCCAAACCTGGAGTCAGGAAGACTTATCTTCCTGAGTTTGAATCTGGCCTCAGACACTGAACTAGTGACCCTGGACAAATCATTTAACCCTGTTTGCCTCAGTTTTCTCATCTGTAAAATGAGCTAGAGAAAGAAATGACAAACCGCTCTAATATCTTTGCCAAGAAAACCCTAAATGGTGTCACAGAGAGTTGCACATGACTGAAACAACTGAACAACATCAAAACAACAAAAATGAATAACCAATCATTGAAATTATTGAGGTGGGGATCAATGTGACGATAATAGCATTTGTGAAGATTGATGTGACCATATCACGCAGGATGGTTTAGCACAGGAAGAATATGGAATTAGAGATACTATGTTAGAAGTTTGTTGTTGCTCCTGTTCAAGCATGGGATGGTAAAGACCTAAGTGAAGGAGATGTCAGTGGAAGTGGAAAGAAAAAGATAGGCTCAGAGAAAGCGTGAAGAAGGAAGAACCTAAAAAACAATAAAAAAGAAGAACCTGTAGGATTTGGTGATCACTTGGGTATGGGACAGCAAGAAAGAGAGAGGAGATGGCAAGTTACAGCCTTTCTGGGCCTCAGTTTCCTAATCTTGAGAATGAAGGATGGCCCCTTCAAACTTCAGATGTATGTTCCTGGTACCCATCTGACCTCCAAGATTTTGAGCTTGGGTGACTGATGATACAGTTTGTCGATAACAATAAGGAAATCATGGGTGGGTAGGAAAGTCATTTTGAAGGAAAGATGAGCTTGGTTTGAGACCAAGGATTCTTAACCTTTTGTGCATCATGGACCCCTTTGATTAGTGAAATCTATGGACTTCTCTCAGAAGATTATTTTTAAATGCATAAGGATTTTGAAGAAAACTAATTATATTGAGATATATTAATCAAAAATGGGGGGAAAACCCCAAAGACCCTAAGTTCACAAGCCCCATGGAAAGAAGCCCTGATTTAGATATTTTAGGTATGAGATAACGGTGGCATGGTTACATTCTCTACTTTGTAAGAGATTTTGCAAGCAGAAGCACCCTGCAGTTTTTCTCTTTCCCTGCCCTGCAGCCAATTAATTTTGCTGTGGTTATTGTGGGTATCTATGTGATTTCTCAGTACAGCTTTGTTAGACATTCTGTAGAAACCTCTATGAAGCCACCAAATAGCTCTGGTCACTTGGGTGGTCTCTTTAGACACTGTAGGCTTCTTTGTCGCCAGTTAAATTTCCTTTGAACCTGGTTATTTCATATACATGAATCTTGCCTTCCTTCTTGGTGAAAGCAGTTTTTGTTCTCATTCTTGATCATGTTTGTTGTTTATTTTCCTGTGGCCTTATAATGAGCTTGATGACAGGCTTTTCATGTTTTGACTTCAAAAGATGAAGGTTCACCCTAGCAGAGAAAAAAAAAGGCAAAATTGAATAGGGCATCATGCTTTGTCTTTAAAGGATGCAAGGCGTTGTAAACAGATTGTCCAAGTTATTGAAACCTGGAGGAATGTTGTTATTTCGGGACCACGGAAGATATGATCTCACTCAACTTCGTTTCAAAAAAGGTACAATGAGATCATTTTTTGTTACCTTGGTGATTTTGTATGTTTGTGTCTTAAAGAATGTTTACCTTGATTTTACTAATTTTTATCTTCTGCTTTTCAAATAGGAATTTTAATTTCCCCTTTTCGTAACTATCTTCTGTAGGATGCTGTTTGTCTGAAAACTTTTACGTTCGAGGAGATGGTACCAGGGCATATTTCTTTACAAAAGGTAGGAGTTACATTCTGGAGAACAAAATTGGTTGGAAAACATAATCCTTAGTTTCTGTTTGTGGGAAGAAAAATTCATAAGCAGTAGTATCATATAAGTATTATAATGTCAAATAATTGATTAAAGTTACTTTCCAATGCTTCTAAATGTTGTACTTGGGAATTTAAATTGAAAGGTTTAAAAAAAAAGTATTTTAAAATCTTTTTTCCCAAGAGAAATCAACCCACTGGCCTTGTTATTTTATCATAGTATATCACCTGCCAAATGAAGTGCATCCCTCCACAGTGGACGTTGTTAGCATGGAGCAGAAAAGAATTGATGACAACTGTAGAGCCAATTGAGAGAGTTTTAGTCATATGAGTCCCATAGTAAATGACTTGTCTCTTATCAATTTTTCATTCTAAAGTACATTTTTGACAGTGATGGGTACTAAATGAGCCTTGTATTCAAGGATTTTCCCCAGTCTTATGTAAACACATTTACATTGTGGCATACTTAGGCCCTTTTATTAACAAGGGGAAACTCTGAAAAGGAACATCTGTTAAAACATCAAAAACAGTAACCACTGTAGTTCCTATCCTTACTCTGTGTGCTATATCATACCTCCTTATTATATTGTATTAATAAATAATAAAATGTGTTTTTCTTAAGGCTCTCATCCCCATTTGTATCCTAGAGGGGTGTTTTGTGAGAAGTTCTGTTAAAGGATAAAAATCTGGATAGTTAACTGAAGCAGTGATGTGTGACTGTTTTCTTGTTCTTAATCTCTTGTCATCCTTTTGCTTTTCATTTTTGTGTCACAGGGGAAGTCCACAATATGTTCCATCAGGCTGGGTTGGATGAAAAGCAGAATCTGGTTGACCGGCGTTTACAAGTTAATAGGAAAGAAAAAGTGAAAATGTATCGAGTGTGGGTACAGGGCAAGTTTCAGAAACCATTGCATTCATTTCATCATAATGACCCTGACGATCTCATTTTTGGGGTTTCTGCTGGTTGAAAGCATACTCTCTCTCTGTATAAATCAAGATCACCCCATGCAAAGGTCTCTTCAAAAATTATTCCTGAAAGAGCAATTAGAAGCTAGAATTGAATATCCATGTCTGACTCTTTTGTCATGGGTGAGGCCTCCCATTAGGCTTATACAGACATACACATATTAGGTGATATGGAAGGATCCACTGTATTTGATGGGTTTTTTAAAAAAATCAATAAATGTGAATTGTTTGTTACTTCTAACCTCTCATGTTTCTTTGAAAACGGTTAAAAAAACAAAATACTATCTATTCAGCTTATTGCAGTAATTGAGATCACTTGAAAAAAACAATAGCCTGCCTATTTTAAAAAGTGGAAACAATCATCTGCTTTATTTATACCATTGGGTTCAGTAATCAGTTCACAAACGTATTCTAGCTGTGCTCAGTTGTCATCTGTCACCAAATAGGCAGCATATCTGTTTCCAGGGAAATTCAGGAAAAGCCCAAGTTTTTGCTCAAGCTATTTTTTCTCTCCTAGTTCAGACTATCTGGAATAGATTTTGACTTTTTCTTTCCTTTCCTGTATATCTGCTATTTTGCTCTTGTGACAGTGGCCCATTCTCAGTATTTTTTCTAAGTATCACCAGGTACACAGATTGTTGAGAGTTTTCTGTAAAACGGATTTAATACTTATGAAGATGTTAAAATTAGAAGAATTAAAAATTTCAGCATATAAAAATAGAATTAATTACATATTCTTCCCATACATATTCATTCTGCTGTGGGGCATGCAAATGAAATTAAAGGCCCTGCCCACAAGGAGTTTGTAGTCTGATTAGGAGTGACAAGATAGAGAGATGGGAAAGGATGAAGTGACAGCATTTAGACTAAGTATGAAAATTGGTGTTAAGCGCTGTAAGAACTCACGTGGTCTGGAATGGTTAGGGAGAGACCCGAACTAGACCTCAAAAGCTACTTAATACTTGGAGAAGAGGCAAGGATAAAAGGGGGCGGGGTGAATTTCAGCACGAACAGTACGATTGGATTGGCTCAGGTGAAGTTAAGGGGTTTGTGTCAGGTAATATCGAGAGATGAAGTTGGAAAAGACCTCTGTAACAATCTAGTCCAAAGCTGGGGAACCTGCAGCCTCGAGGCCACGTATGGCCCTTCAACCGAATCCGAACTTCACAGAATAAATCCCCCTAATAAAGGTCTGTATTCTAGTCCAACTCTCATATTTTACAGTTAAGGAAACAAGGCCCCAAAAGGTTGTGACTTTTCAAATCACACAGCCCATAAGTATTAGAGATAGGATTTGAAACAGCCCTCTTGCCCTAGCATTACTGCTGCCTGCTCTTTCCAAATAGATTGGAGCCAGATGTCGGAAGACCTTGAAGCTAAGATGTCCAGATTTTATCCTATAGGCAGCTCTGAGGCATTGAAGATTTTTGAGCTGAGGAGAAACAGGATGGAAAGGGTTCTTTAGAAAGATGAATCTGGCAGTGATATGCAGGATAGGTTGAGTAGTGGAAAGATTGTACATGAAATGAGGACAGCCTTAACTGGGTTGGTGGCATGTGTCAATAGCAGTATTAAGGTTACTGTTTAAGCATGTATAAATCAGTAGATGTAAAAGCCAAGATTTGCATCAGAATCTTAACTCATCTACATTTCCCATAATTAAAGTGTACATTTAAAAGCCAAACTGGTAATTGAAAGTATTCCATATAGCACGGGCAATTTGGATAAGTTGATGTTGCTATGGGAACCCGAGCACAACCTACTTCTTGTGTTTCAATTTAAAAATCGTGGCCCAAGGTGGTTAAAAAACAACAGAAGGTAAAATTATGCTCACATCTTCACACATGGAAATTGTACTGTCTGCAAGTTCTAAATAGCAGGTTCAAGCCAGCCACTTGACAGGCACAGTCAAATCCAGCCTTGTGTCTTTGTACAGTGTGTTATAGCATATACATTGACCTTTTGAAGCTTTAAAAATGTCAACCAAATTGAGCCCAGCTCATTGCCAGAGTTCCAAGCTGGGCTTCCTCTGGCTTCTGGCCAGTGCTGCTTTTCTACCCTTTATGGATTGTCACCAGAGCCACTTATGCCTGTGTGTCCTGCCTCCCTATTCTTTCCCCCAGTCAATCTGTGTCCCTTCACCTGTCTTCCTGAATCACACCCCTGTGCAGGAGAAGCTACTTGGGTAAAGTGAGTTATAGCAGAGAAAGAAAGGAATGGGTATCATCCAGAGCCTCCAATTCAATCCAACAATGATTTTACCAGGTGTCTATGTGCCCAGCACTGTGTTAAGTAATGAGGATGCAAAGACAAATAGTAAATAGTATTTTTCCTCACGACCATGCCTAGAAAGTCATGGGAAGACAGGAGGATTTCTGTATCACCAGCTTAGAATGACCTTTTAAGTGTTTCATAACTGTGTGGAATCCTTATTTAACACCCTCCCGTGTGCTCGTTTTTTCCTGGTTCAGGTTCACAAAGCCAGTAACGATGGGGATGGAGTGTGAGATGTGAGAGTTTATCTGCTTTTGAGTGAATTGAACTTCAAAAAGCTCCCATTTTCTCATTAACCAGAAAAGTATACTTGTTTACGTTCTCATAATACAGAAGCAACTAAACATTTTATTTGAAATTTTCTCCCTATTCTATTCATTTAAAAAAAGACAAAACTAAATTAAATTGATTCTGGGCAGTAACAAAATGTGGAAAGTTTCAAGCTAAATGAGAAATAGTTCAAAAAGTAAGAAAGTCACTATAGCTGTTTCTATTATTAGCCGTTTTACATTTGCTATGACACATCTGTGGAACTGAAACACTCAGTTAATGATGACTTCAGAGAACTTGCCTGTTTTGTTTGCCCCAGCCTCTTGAGATGTCTGCCATGTTCCTCATTTGTGCAATCATTTTATGTACCCCAGTTTCCAACATCTGGTAATTTAAATGCTTCATGTTCCAGTCCAGATGTGGAAATTGGTCCATTTGCAGATAGATGCTCGACTGGGGAACAGCATTTAGAGCCATTCTGAAGCATTTGGGTTGTTAAACTTTAGGTAAGCTAGATAAACACCTGCCTGAGAACTAACTCTAACATTTCTGTGGCTTTCTAATGCAAACCTAAGTTGTGAAAGGCTGAATCTCTCACAAGTTTTGCTTTTTATTGGTCTTCATTTTATGTTGTGTTTCCCACAATTTTGCAGGTGATTTTCAAAGAGCATTGACCTTTCCCTTTTTTGCTTTTTCTTAAGTTTCATTGATGCCATTTGTTTTTATATAAAAGTCATTTCCATGACATACTACTCTCCCCTCAAAACTGCCTGCCTTCCCTTGTAACAAAAGTTAAGTAAAACCAAGTTTCCACCACATCTGACCCAGTTTGACAAGGTATGTGATATTCTGTACCCACAGTTCTCTACCCCTCCAACTGAGGGACCTCTCCCTTATTTCTAAGTGAACCTGAATGCTTTCCTGCTTTTAGACAGAGTTTGTTAGCCTATTTGCAAATAAGCGTAGAGCTCATCTGCAAATAGTTGTATGATATTTGCCTCATAGGTTTGGGTTTATTAACTTATAGTTAGCTTATGTATATCTGTATGCTTTCCCTGCACTTAGGATAAGCTATAATATGGTATAAGGAGCACTAGATCTGGGGTCAAAAGACCTGAGTTTGAATCCCAGTTATATACCATTCTACCAGTATACCCTTAGGTGAGTAATTTTTCCTCTCTAAATCTCAGTTTTCTCACCTGTAAAATGGAGAGGGTTGTACATGGTGATCTCTGAGCTCTGAATCTATGATGCTAAGTAAATGGATGTTCCTTGGCTAGGATTATTGAGACTTCCTATAAATAGGTAATTTGGATTTTCAAAAAAATTTTTAATATTAACTATTTTTTTTAAGTTTTGAGTTCCAAATTCTCTCCCTCCCTTCAGCCCCTTCCCTGCTTGTTGAGAAGGCAAAAAATTAAACATAGGTAATTTAAAGGGACATATTCCTTTGCGGTGGCTGACCTCCATGCATGATATGCTGTGCCCCACCTCACCTGAGTTCCCTGGTTTTCTTCAAGAAGCAGATCAAATCCTACTTTCCTAGTACCTCCAGCTTTTAATACTTTTCATCTCAGAAATTATTTCACATCTACTCTATTTACAACTCATATATACCTAGTTATTTCCCAGAAGAAGTAACATGTGAAGTGCTTTGCAAACCCTAAAATGCTATGTAAATTCTAGCTATTATTAGTTGTTGTTCAGTCTTTTCATTCACGTCCAACTCTTCATGACCCCATTTTGGGTTTTCTTGGCAAAGATTTTGGAGTGGTTTTCCATTTCCTTCTCTAGCTCATTTTGCAGATGAGGAAACTGAGACAGACAAGGCTAAGTGACTTGCCCAGAGTCATGCAGTAGTGAATGTCTGAGGCCAGATTTGTACTCAGGAAGATGAGTCTTCTGACTGCATGGTGTTCTGTCCACTGTGCCACCTAGTTGCCCATACTATTAGTAGTAGTAACAGTTATTTTGATGTTTGTTTCCACCATTATAATGTGAGCTCCTTGAGGACAGGTACTGTTTACACCTTTCTTTGCATCCCCAGTACTTAACACAATGCTCAGCACATAGTATATACTTAAATGATTTTTGACTGAAAAAAAATTACATCTTTACCACTCAGTTGTGCTTTATCAGTAAAAATGGAATTCTCTTTTGAAATGAACATTGATCAATGATAGCAAAGACATTAGACTAAAACAAAATATAGAGTAGGAGTTAAAGAAATAAATATAGGTCTAGTTAGGAACATCATTCACTCATCTTTATTCTTAGCCCAGTTTCTTCCCTAGGTTACAGTAGAATTAATTCACCATAAATTTTGGCTCAGAAGCAAAACCTTCCCAGGTGTACACATCACTTGGTCACACATCAGGTCTTTAGGACATCTTGTCTTTAAGGACCCTGGCTAGCTGCCTTTCTAATTCTGTGCAAGTGATGAGGGGTCTGTTTGCCCTCATTGGCTCATGTAGTTCACTGAACTTCTTGTTTCTTCTGGCTTCTCCGCTCTTAGGCAAAAGCATATATAGGCCTATAGTAGTATGACTACACCTTGGCAGAGTGAATCCCAGTGTGGTCTTTTTCCTTACACAAGACCGTATTTTTCTCTCTCTCCATGATACTGTCTGTTGACTTTTTTGAGAACATCAGTGTTTTGCCTCCTCTTAATTGGTTTCTTCTTTGCAACT